CTTCCTGCGGATGCGCTCCCTAGCCAGGTCGAGGCGAGGAGCACTCTACTGGGCGTTCATGACACTGCGGGGCCCTTCGCCGCGCCCAGAGATCTGCATACCGGTCAGTTCATATACGTCGACTGCACGGAGGAGGAGAGGGCCATGCTGCCCACGACCATCGGGTCGCAGTTCGAGGCGGAGCGTGCTCTGGCCGAGCTGAGGACCGTGAGTCGCGTCGTCGGTGACCCGCGTGATTCCGAGGAGTACACGTACTGGGAGACATCCTCGCATGACACTCTCGCCTACGCCTTTTACAGCGTGCCGGATCAGTACAGGAATGTCCCAGCAGTGAAGTCCGCCTCGCGCATTTTCGACCAGATTCCCGACGGCCAGCTCGTGCGACCGGACAAACCGGAGCCTGCGGTTCTCCGCCTCAGCGCGGTGAAAGGCACTGATGAGACCCGGAGGAACCTCGAGAGGCTGAAGGAGGAGTCCATCAAGAAAAACGTGGTCATCCTCGGCGCCAGAAGAGGCGAGGATATCGCCCCCAGGATCGGAAACACGATCACTACTCTGTGCGCCAAAATCGGGGACATTGCCCGATTCCTGGAGATGGGAGTGAGATCCAGTGCAGGGCCTATCCTCCCGACCAGGAGTGATCCTGACCTGATGATCCAGGCCATTGTTCCCGCACCCGAGGAGCTTCTGGACTACTTCGCCGACGAGATCCGTCAGAAGGTGAAGGGTAGAACGGGCGCCTCTTCGCACTACTACAGGAGAGCATGCGCGGAAATACGCGACGCGCTCCGTGGAACAGCTGTGCAGCCTGGAAATGCAGGTGCAGTCAAGGACCCAGAGTTGGAGGCCTCATCTGCCAGCGGGCAAGGGAACGTTACTTCGGTGATACAACTGAAGAGGTTCCTGAGCCACTACTTCGGGACCAGCGTCGAGTCCGAGGATGCCTTTTCTTCATACCTCCTGTCTTCCTTTCTCGAGGATGGGGTGGGAATGTTCGAGATCATCATCACCGTCATTCGTGACAAGGAGCGTCGGTTGCTGCCTGGTTCCGCCCGCATAGCGGCGGTAAGGTCGCTTGAAATCGGATCCGACACTGATTACCGGGCATTTCGTGAACGATACCAATACATGCTCTACGAGAGCCCTGTTTGTCTTCCTATCACCTCCAAGGTGGTTCCTAAGACGCTCTACAAGGTGGTGCCTCTCCGAACGTATCGGCTCTACGTAGAACGTGGGGCGATCATTCGGGGTGGGCGAGCTCTGATCGAGCTCCTTCCCTCTCGGCCGGATGAGTATCAATCCCTCCGCGATCACGGAGAGTGCCCCAACGACACTGTCGACCGCATCACCGACAGCAACGTGACGGAGCTGCACACCTCGGGTCGACGCCAAAGGAGCGATCCCCGATATGTGGTCAGGGCTATCGATGCACGTTTCTTCTCCATGGAAAATGGGGGCATGCATATTACTCGTCAGGGTACCTTTGCGTCGCGCGAGAACATCGCGATCGGGTACTGGAGATGCGTCTACTTCAAGGAGGACTGCTCCATCATTTACCTGAGGCCTTGGTGCTATCCGCCCAACTTCCTCAACTCCTTGAGTGATAACCCGAGGAAGTGTCGGGACGAGATGGAGAAGTACCATCAGATCACCAAGACGGAACATGTCCGCGAGGTGGTGTCCGTTCCATGCCATAGGTGCATGACGGCCCATCCGGTCGGCGCTCACCTGTGCACCGCCTGCTACCTTCCCATCTTCTACGATGGCGTCCTGCCCACCGGAGACACGAACGGCGGCCCTCGCACGATAGCGAGCACTGACGGATTGGTTCCTCCCTGGCTGGCAAAATACGAGGGCTTCGTCCCCGCTCTGTGGAACAACTCAGACGCCAACGCCATCGGAATGGCCCTCTACTCGCAGAGTCCCGCCGTCGATGCCCGGTCCTTGTTGATGTCTGGGATGCGGCCTCCTAAGTACCTTGACAAAGAGGACGTGGATGGCATTTTCCGGAAACTTCACGACTCGCTCCGAGACGAAATCCTTGACGGCAAATACCGTGACACGGTCGACAGCAACGTGGAAGAGTGGGTAGCAAAGGCGATCCTGGTAAGGGGTCTGGCCTTCAACGGGAGCTCCGTCCCCGAATTCTTCGAAGAATATGAGGGATATGCGGCTGAGTGGGGCAGACGCCTAACCACCGCAAACTTCAACGCCAACCGGTGCGGTTTCTACACGTCCTATATACATTCTTGAGGCCCATATCATTGGGCTGAGAACAGGACACCTTTCTCCGATACTCCCCAACGATGTGTCCGGGGAGGGATTCAAGTTCCAGGTGGGGCTGCTCGCACAGCACTGCGGGATATTGCAGGCCATGCGGAGAAGGGCTGGATTCGATCCTGCCGCGCGCCTCAAACGGGCTATGGACACGATACGGGAAGGCATTAAGAAGGGGTATGTCTACACCCTCAACGACCTCAGCAGTATGGACGATCTGATCTACCGGACGTCCACCGTTGCCTACGACACCTGCTTGGCCGACCGTCCTCAAACCCAGGATGACATCAAACAGGAGCTATCCGACCCTGTACCAAGGAAATACCGCTTCCGACCCCGCGATCGCCATCGACCCGGAATTCGCCTTACACCAGGCCCCGGCGTGAAGGACGAAGACGAGCCCGACTTTGCTGGATCAGCGGAGGATGAGCTGGGATCGGATGGTTCTTCGCACGAAGATGACGAGAAGCCTGACGACCTTGACGAGCCCTTGGGCGACGACGAGGAGGAGATCCCTCCCCCTCCGCCACCGCCCCCGGCTCCTCCTGCGCCGCCTGTCCCGGTAGAACCGGAGACTCCCGTGGTGCCGCATGCAGGCGTAAATTCTGGCGATGCTGTGCCAACTCCTCCTCCTCCTCCTCCCGCTCCCATTGCGGCAGGCGTTACTACGACTGGGGATCCGTTTGAGGAAGAGGACATGGCCATCAATACTCGTGTCCCTGACACCGAGTCCGAGCTGGAGGGTGAGTCCGACCAACCCAAGGCCAGAAGAACATCTCGCGGTCGGGTCCCCGCGCCCGAAAAAGGGCAGGGGGGCGTTCAGGTCCCGCCTAGCGGGCAACCCAGCTCTAAGAGCATGGCCCAGCCTGCCCGCCCATCCCCGGGCCCCGCGAGAAGCGGTGTGGAAGGTGGGGAGAGAAGGGGCAGGACTAAGGGTTTCTACACCCAGAAGGATCCTTTTACCGGCGAGGACGCGACTCCCCGAGTTCGTCTTCGATCGGGCGGTCCCGGAACTCCTGCGTCCCCACCACGGGATGCCACCGGTTCCTTGGGCGGCCATCGCGGCTATGACCCGCGTGATGACGACAACGACGAGTGGGAGCTTCCCCCGGGTGTGCCTCGGACAACTCGTGCGGCAGATGAGTCGCGGCCCCGACGAGATGACGATCGGTCAAGGACCGCGCTTGGGGCCCGCGAGGATCGTCGTGGTCCTAAGGGTGAGGGGAAGGGTCGAGGAAAACATCGACCTGGCAAAGGTGGACGTGAGGATCCCGGCCCGCCCCGACAAAGGGATGATCGTGGCAGGGACACCCGCGGAGGCCGACGCGATGATCGCCGACCTCCTCCACGTCATGAGGAGACCTCCGAGAGGCGCGGCCCGGGGCGAGATGAGCGCCGCGGACGTGATGACCCGGGCGATGACCGTCGCGATCGCCACCGGGACCGGCGCAGGGATGACCGACGTCACCAATCAGATCCCCCTCCGCCTCGCCGACCTCCGGCTGGCGACCACAATAGGGGTGGTGGTGAGGATCGCCGTCGGGATGGAGGAGGTGATCGAGGTGACCGTGGTGGACGCCGAAGAGACGACGCGCCCAGGGACCGGGAAGAGCCTGGTTCAGGGTGGTAGACGGGTGCCGCAATCAGCATCCGCCTTAGAAGGGCGAGGATAGTACGTGTGTCGCCGACAAACGCGACCGCGCCGGTCCTCCTCTCGCCCGTGCAGCGCTGCTGGGGGTGATGATCTCCATTGCCCTGTACCGCTGATTCGGCGTTGCTCGTGTCCCTCCCGCACCGCTGCCGTGCGCGCCGGAGACGGTTCCCCTGGCGATCCTGTGTGAGGCTGTGACCGCACTAGAAGTGCCGGGCCGGCCATAGCCAGATATTTTCACACCAATTTCGGAACTTCCGTTTCTAATTTCCTCCCAACTCGACTACTCTTCCAACCGCTCCACGGCGTGCAGTGAGGCGCGGTGATCCAGATAGGATCCCCCTCCGCATGGCATCGTCCCATGACGACTCATGAACGGCACGAGAGGAATCTTCGTCTGGTTCCTCCAATATGTCTTTGTTCACTCTTGTGGTCCACTCGTCAAATAATCCTGTCGCCCCGATAATTCGGGGTGGTGGCGGGATTTTAACTGGGGCCCAGGTGATGCCGTTTGGCTCACCTCTGAGTTGTCACCGGCATTTTTGGTTGGTCCCTTTCGTCGTGAACTCAACTGTCTCGCATCCTTTCTCTCGTCCTGATATCGGATGAGGGGGGTGTGTTTTGTTCACGTGTTGTTTCATCATGTGGCAAAGCGGCCGAATGGCCGTTTGGCTCAAGTTTAACCTCCCGTCAGGTTAGTTTTGGTAGCACGGCACTCGCCATAGCACGGCATCTCGCTGCGTCGCCGAGAAAGGACTCTCGGCGCTGGGGTGGGCTGGTGCTAGGAGGTAGGTGGTGCTGCGGCAGGACTTGCCTGGGCCTGGTTAAGGTGATCTTTTGCAACTTGCTGTTTAACCTTCACTTCAACCACCTCTTCTTCAATCATCACGTCCTTCAACCTGGTCACCGGCTTCAGTCCACTGAGTCGTGAGTCCGGGTTCTTTGGGTTCTTCGTGGATTACGTGAACCCTTTTGATTCCCTGGGCAACGCCCTTTCCGCCCAAAACCGCACTTTTGATTGCTGGAGCACAACCGCGAGACTGAAGTCAGCCTAGCAACTTGCTGCTTTCAGGCAATGTCCTCCGTGAACACGCCCTTTCACAATTGTGTGTCTTGGTGAAATTGCTGGAAGTGCCCACAGCCCTTGCGAGCCATGCAAGTCAAGGGTTCCGGCGCTGAGGCGGAGACACGGACGTTGTGAAGCAGGCGAGTCCAGATGTTCAACAGAAAGCTGACACGAATGCCAAGGCCAAAGAACTATCTGAATGTCTGGCCGCAGCGCCTGGATATCACAGACAGTGTGATCTGCCGCGTTGGACAAACGCAAGGAACGGGCCCTTCATCTCTTCCCCCCAAGCTCGCAACCCACATGCGTTTTTTCAAGGGTGCATGGCAATTCCTTGCACTTTCATTTGTATTTTTCATTTCTTCACTTGGCACTTTGTCTCCTAACAGCCCTTCCCTTAGGTGTTAGGTGTAGAGATCAACAGCTGTTGAGCGTTGCCAACTTAGGGATCTTCATGGACTGGACGGTTGGCGCAGGTGCTTGCTCACTTCCACGCGGAGCCGCGCCTCCAAATGGTGGGGCCACAGGGCTTGGTGCTCGAAAACGCAGGGAGGCTCAGTGAGCAAAGCAAACGGGCTTTGGGCGTGACAGGGTTTTGATTGGATTCAGTTGATTCACTGCAGTCTGATCGGCCCGTTGCCACCTGTGTGCCGTCCGGCGCGTGAGGCTTCGGATTTCTCCACCATTGAAAGGCTCTGGCATGACAGAAATGCCATGACCCCAGAGAGCCTGGGGCCTGGGGCTTCCAAGGTTGGAAGGGGCACGACCCGCGGCAACATCTGAATTCAGATGGGGAAATGGTGGGAAGTCAAGGATCAATTTGCGATATATGTCGTGAAGGCTTGCCGTGCCGACACGTCAGGTGAAATTCGCTCTTTGGCCGTGGGAGGAGCGTGCGGCCGAGGCGGGAACGCGCTCGTGGCGGTCTCGGCATCGGCGTGTCTCAGGTGAGGGCTTGGCCTTTGCTCAGCGGAAAGCACTTCCCGCACAGGCGCAAGCCGGGGGCCGAGCGCGAGGGATCGCCAGTGGCTTGGAGGAACAGCTGGACCATCATGGCAACCAACTTCTACTGGATGAGATCCACGAGCCTGGCTTGCTGTGGCAGGCCAGCGTAGCGCGAGAGGCTCGCGAGTCACCGTCACCGGAAGCTGTGAAATTGGGATACTTGTTCAAAGGACTTGCGCCTCAGCCAAGATTTTCCATGAGATGGTCAGCGGAGTGCTGATGGATGTCGGGTTGTGTCCACTCTGCGCGCCAGGTTGCTGCGCGTGATCCCCGAATTGGTTGCCACCATGCCGTTTGGCTACGTGACCGGTAGCTCTGCACAAATGTGCCATGTCCTGGAACGCCCCTGGGCTGAAATGTCGTCTCTGGCGGCAACATAGCCCATCTCAGGGATGTCAAGCCTCTTGGCACATTTCCCCATGATCAGTGCATGGCATGTGTTTGACGGCGGATCAAGGGTAAGCCTGGTTGCCTTCTCATGAAGCTGCTTGTAGTTTGACTTTTTTGTCACCCGTTTCGGTGCGAGGTCTGATCCCTACAATGGTCCGCGCTTCTGGGGGCATCGTGGCGGAGATCTGAGACAGGCTGCCACAGAGTGATGCCCTGGGCGTTTCCTTTTCCCAGTGCCCGAGTCAAAGTGTTCACTCTTTAACTGTGCTTTGAGATTAGACAGGTGGATTGTTGAGGCGAAGCCTCTCATCCACCTGGTTTGGAGTTGCAGACGCCTTGCCAAGAAGAAAGCAATGCGGTCTTCGGTAGCAGGGGTCCTCTATCAGCATGGTATCACGTTTGCAGCGAAACAGGAAAGTGTGTGTGTGTGTGGTGTGTGTGTGTGTGTGTGTGTGTGTGTGTGTGTGTGTGTGTGTGTGTGTGTGTGTGTGTGTGTGTGTGTGTGTGTGTGTGTGTGTGTGTGTGTGTGTGTGTGTGTTGTGATGTGCTTTGCTGTGTTGTGCTGTGTTGTGCTGTGTTGTGCTGTGTTGTGTGTGTGTGTGCGAGATCCCCCCCCAACCCCAACCATGTGATGTGTGTGTGTGAGTGGTGTGTGTGTGTTTAGTGTTTGGTCCATGTGGGTGCTGCTGTTTGTTCCTGTACGTCTGTCCTGTCGTCCGTTCGTCGGTCTGTAAGCCTGACTGTCTGTCAGTCTGTCTGTCTGCATGTCTGTCTCTGTGTCTATGAGTCTCTGTGTCTCTGTGTCTCTGTGTCACTGTGTCTTGTGTCTCCTGTGCCAATGTGTCTCTGTGTCTCAGTTTCTCTCTCGTTTTCTGTGTCTGTCTCTCTGCCTGGGCTGTCAGTTCTGTCTGTCTGATCGACTTGCCAGTTGTCTGTCGTTCTGGTTTCTGTCTCTGTTCTGCGTCTGTCTGAGCAGGGTCCCAGGTTCCGGATAGACCAGTTCCTCCCAAAGCTGTCTGTCTGTCTGTCTGTCTGTCTGTCTGTCTGTATGTCTGTCTGTCTGTCTGTCTGTCTGTCTGTCTGTCTGTCTGTCTGTCTGTCTGTCTGTCTGTCTGTCTGTCTGTCTGTCTGTCTGTCTGTCTGTCTGTCTGTCTGTCTGTCTGTCTGTCTGTCTGTCTGTCTGTCTGTCGTCTGTCTGTCTGTCTGTCTGTCTGTCTGTCTGTCTGTCTGTCTGTCTGTCTGTCTGTCTGTCTGTCTGTCTGTCTGTCTGTCTGTCTGTCTGTCTGTCTGTCTGTCTGTCTGTCTGTCTGTCTGTCTGTTGTCTGTCTGTCTGTCTGTCTGTCTGTCTGTCTGTCTGTCTGTCTGTCTGTCTGTCTGTCTGTCTGTCTGTCTGTCTGTCTGTCTGTGTCTGTGTGTTTGTGTGTGTGTGTGTGTGTGTCTGTGTCTGTCTGTCTGTCTGTGTCTGTCTGTGTGTCTGTCCGTCCGTCCGTCCGTCCGTCCGTCTGTCTGTCTGTCTGTCTGTGTATTAGGTGTGTGTGTGTGCGCGCGCGTGTGTGTGTGTGTGTGTGTGTGTGTGTGTGTGTATTAGGCATTTGCCGATGCTGGCCCGATATGGACAGTGGATTGACGGGAAAGCTTTGCGGGAGCACGCTTGTTGGCAAGCCGAGTAATTCCCCCTGAGTCACGGACCCGAGGCAGGCTGAATCCTGCCGCAGCAATCCCAGCTCGCATGGCATGTCTGTGGCATGTTGGAGGGAGCCACAAGAGGCCCGTCATGATGAAGCGCTCAAAGATTGGCAGCATACTACCTGCATTTTCCAGCAGGAATCGCACCTTTGTCCGCCCCCAAATTTGGCAAGCCCACCAAACCGTAAGGTAGCAAATGAAGAAAAGGGAACTTCGATGCCTGTGGATGCCAGTCGTCTGTGGCAGCTTCCGGACGGGTCTGTCGGCTCCCAGGATCGGACCCACTCGCCAAATCGGTCACAAGTCAGCACCTCTGCAGGCCTTGCCTGGCGGCATGTGGGCCGCCGAGCCTGCAGAGTTGCCCCACGAGGTGACGTCCCGAAACCCTTTCGCTTGGGAACAAGCAAGACGCAGGTGTTTTCCTCGTTTTGCAAAAGGTTGTGTTTCCTGTCTCGTCTCTTTGCGGTTTGGAAGATGGGCCTTGCTCTTGCGCTTGTGCCAGGTTCGGGGCACCACTCCGAAGTCGGCAGCTCCGAGCATGCCGAGGGCGCCAGGCATGCCGCTGAGCGCGCCCATGGGCTTGCCGATGCCCTGCGCACCCATGCCCAGCATGCCCGGCATGCCCGGCATGCCCGGCATGCCCGGCATGCCGCAAATGCCGCAAAGCGCGCCTCAAAGCATGCAGAGCATGCCGCCCATGCCTCCAAGTGTGGTGCGTGCCGGGCTCGGTGTGAATGGCTCTTCGCCCGGAGTAGTGTGGGGTATTGAGTCAGGTCGTCCTCCTGTTCCGGCTGCTTTTGCTTCCAGGGTGCCACGGGCAATAGGGCCATCGGTGTTGATGCCGAAGCTTGGCTGGCAAGCATGCAGGGTCGATCCTGAGGAGTTGGCTGTTTGCACCTTGGGCGCGCTGCTGAGGACGTCCAAGGCGTCCTCCGGGCCAGGGATGATGTCACCCATGACGATGCCAGGGATGATGCCAGGGGCGATGCCCGGCACGATGCCGTCAATGCCAGCAATGCCGGCGATGCCATCGCCATCGCTTCCATCGCCTGGGCCGGCGACGGCTCCGCCCCTCTTGGCCGGGCCAACGCCCATTACGCCAGTGGCTGCTGAGGCAGCCCCCCCGACACTCCCACCGACTTCCAAGGTGGCGTCAGTCCCAAAGAGCCACACAGGCCACACGATAGACGCGTACTTGGAGGCCTGTGGTAGCCCGGTAACTGGGTAGCCTCCCCTGAACTCCACCCGTTGAATCCCGTGACTTTCTCACGCATTGTGCTAGGTGCAGAGGCTGGCACAAGCCTGGGTTCGCGGCGCCACGCGCAAGCAGAGGCCCAGGAAAAGGCAGCGGAAGGCAGTGCCTCGACTGCTCGTAGCGCATGACGTGCATTGTGTGTTGGCCGGTGGATGCTTTCCAAGGAGAAGGACCCATACATGGATCCCAAGGACAGGACTCGTCTTGCTGGCAATGTGACGTTTGGGATGCCAGGAAGATCCTTACCTGGTGATGCTCGCCGAGGTCCGCCCCACGGCTAGCCTGGCGTGGTGCAATGCATTGTAATCTCTCGGGTGCCCATTTTCTATCACAGCCACAGGCGGAGGCAGACGAAGAGATGGAGACGTGTGGGTTGTGCAGCGCAGATGTTTTGCAGTGTTGCCCTTTTTTAACCAACACTTTGTAGGCAGAATCCAGCCTGTGCATGTATATGCTTATTGTCCTACCCTGACGGATGAGGGACCTTCACTGGCATGTACAAAAGGCAGCTACCAGATTTGAAGCAAATGGAAGCAAACGTCAAACTTTGTGTGTTGCGGGGGGGCTGCTTCACTTTTCTGCGAGGAGGCGATGCCGCCCCCAAGCAGTGCTACCGCCCACAAGCGGAAGGACACAGGCAGGCACGCATCACTCAGGTCACGCAGTTGCATCAATATTTTTAGTCTCAACTTGGTTTGGATGCAGGCCCGCCCAAGGCACCTGTGGAGGCATGTGCCGTTCGAGGGGTTGAATGGGCTGTCGGAAGTTTCGACACGGCAAGTGCGCAAATTGCCAAAGTGCAGGTGGAAGACCTGGAGCCGGGTCCCAATTCGACTCCGTCGATTCCGTTGGGTGCTGGGCGGTGTTGGGTGTTTGGGCTGAAGCTGAGGTCCGGTTCCACGGAAAGCTCAGGTTCTTCTGAGGGTGAGGAGTCTGAGGCAGTTGATGCGAGCCTGGCGCATGGTGAATGAGCCCTTTTGGTGCGAGGAGGTAGACGATGACGAGGTGGAAGAGCCCCCCGGCGCCCAGGCGCGCACCATGCGCGATGCACGGCGCAAGACATGAGAACTTGGCAGGAAGCTGGGCGAGTGGAGCTCTTCAAGCCGCTTGGGATGTGAAGGATTCAGGGCAGTAGGGCAAGTTCTTCGGTTGCTCGGTTGGGAGTGAGGGCATCAGGGCATCAGGCAATAGGGCATTAGGGCATTTTGCACATTTAGGCTCGGCGCGAAGTGCTGCACTGTGATGGCGCACTTTGTGGGCGGCAGCGAGGCGTCTCTGCAGCGGAGGCCAGGGATGGATGCGTCTTGGATCTTGGGAGCCTGGCGAACTGGAAAGAACGAGGGGCCTTTCCCCTTTCCAGAGCCAGGCTTGACATCGATCAACGTGTCCGACTTGAGCATTGCTGCGCCCCAGTCCCGCTTTGTCTCGCATAGCCAAAAGGCTCCCGAAAGCTTGCCATTGAGGCTGCTTTACTTTTTTACTTGGAGAGCTTGGGTGTAAGCTGAGGCCGGAAGCACTTGCAGTGGGCCGGCGACCTCACATCCGTGCCTGTCGGCATGTTGCAGAGTGGAGGGAGGTGGTGTAAGGACAACGCTGCTAGGCACTAGCTGAACACTTCATCTATCGCCTCTTTCTGTTGAGGCTGTGTTTGATCCTTTTTGGCTTCGCGGTCAGTGAGTTGCCCCTAACACCTTGCTTGATTTTTGCGCAGCAGGTGTGGCATTTCGCTCTTTCTGACTTGAAGGAGAAGGCCAGAAGGTTTCTAAAGTGATGGACGCAGCTTTTGTTACCAGTCTCAGTCAGATTGTTCTGATGACTGGAAGCTCATGTTTAAACTGTTTGCGGGCGGCGGGAGGTTTTGGATGATCCGCAACATGAGTTGAGCTGTCGCATGTTCCGACGGTCCCATCTCAGCCATGCAAGGTATCTGTGTTTCGCGCAGGTTGCTTGGAACACGCTTTGCAACTACTTCGTCTCACGGAAGCGCGTCGGACTTGCCGAGCTGGCGGGTGGCGTTGCTGGGTCCTCAGAATGGAGTGTCATCGCCGGCCCAAGCCGCAAAACTGAAGCCACACCAGAGTAGGAAGATATCACGGCACGTGCTTTTTGAACGCGGACCGGAGGTGTACGTCGTGCCCCCAGACAGCACCTTCCTCTCAGAGCTGGGCCTCCCGGCTGCGGAGAGCCTGGCGGGGAGTTTGCTGGGCCTGCAGGCGGGGCAACGCCGCTTGAGCGCTTTCCTCCGTGAGCCTGAGCCGTGAGCGGATTGGAGTGAGCCTGAACGTCGGATGGGGAATGTTGGCTCAATTCAATATTGTGTTTAGTTCACGTGTTGTTTCATCATCAACCATGCGTGCCGAGTGGCCGCTTGGCTCAAGTTCATTCCTTCCCGTCAGGAAGGACTAGGTTCCACGTGCATAGTCTGTGAAAACCTGGGAGCTGCTGCGGGTCGGGGCTAGGAGGGCGCGCTGGTCTTCCTGGGCTTAGGCGTCTTTAACTGTCACACCCACAACCTGGTCATCGGCTCCTTCTCGGGACTGGGTTCTTTTGGTACTTCGTGGATTACGTGTACCTCTTTGATTCCCTGGACTACGTGTTCGCCCAAAACCGCAGGTTCTCAGCCGTAACAGCTAGGAGCTGGGGCTGGTGGCCCGGTTGCGGGTCGTGACCCGCTACTTGCTCCTCCTCGCCTACGTGTTCACACAATGGCGTCTCCGGGAGCTTCGCACCGTGGGCCCGGCTTCGTGGACGACAAGGCCAACGCCCTTCGCGGCAACGCTGCGCTCCATGCCCCGGCGTAGACAGCCGGCTGTGGCCCCTTCCCCCGGTGATGGAACCCTTTCTAGAAGAGGCTGTGGTCCCTCCGAACCAGGTCCTGCCGTCGATTTCGCCAGCCCTTCCCTTCGTGGCCTTTCAGCTCGAGGACAGCCTCTCGGAGGTGCGACTTTGAATGCATCGCCGTCGACTCGGGTGCCCTTTCGGTTGGGAACATTGATATTCAATCCCTTTTTGATGCTGATTGGAGATCCCAACCTTCCCGGCCTTCCCGGTCCGATTTGCCCTTTGCCGGGTGGCCCGTTGAGGAATTTTCCCCTTCTCATGTTGCAGGTCCGGGCCAACTCGACTCGGGCGATCGGGCAATTGAAGACTGGCCGCAAACAGCAGGCCGTCCTTCCGTTTCAGGTTCATTTGCAGCCATCACCACTGATGATCATCCTAGCCAGGCTGATTTGGACTTCATCCCGGATGCAGTATCATCTTACACGTCAGGTACCCATGATCAGGATGCGAGCCGCTACAACGCTGGCTCGAACCCACAGCCACCCTCAGGCACGGATGCGAGCCGCTACAACGCTGGCTCAATTCCAACCGATCCATCGTCAGGTACTCAACAACAGGATGCGAGCCGCTACAACGCTGGCTCAATTCCATCGAGCCCGACCTCAGGTACTCACGAACGGGATGCGAGCCGCTACAACGCAGGCTCAAATCCGCACGACCCAATGTCAGGTACTCATGAACAAGATGCGGGCCGCGAAACAGCAGGCCCAAATCCACTTTCCGCATCATCGAGAACGGACTCGAAAAGAGTCCGCCCCAGCTGTGATCGACCTTGAGGAGCACTCCCATCATCGTACCAGTGATGGATTCGAGCAGGATTCACCTGGGAATGGATCTACTCCCTTCGATTTCCTCCTCGGCATCCCGTTCCACCAGCCACCTAGAAGGGGCAACGAGGATGATGAGACCATTCCTGGAGTTCTTGATGCCATTGATGAAGCTCGCTCGCACCAAGCCGCGTCGCCAAGGTCCTGTCGCCGAAGCCCTTTGTTCATGATGTCGCCCAACGACTCGATCTTAATCAAGCTGATCATGGTCAAGCCCAACAGCGTGGGTCATCGTCTCGCGATCTCCCGCCGGGACAAACCGGCACTGACTCCCGAGCCCAAGCTACTAAAAGGAGCTCCGAGTCACCTGAAAGACGCTCTTCGGTTGCGCTCTCGTCCCCCCGCCCACCATGACCCTGTTGAGGTTCCCATCCACTCTGCTGGGCCCGGACTTAGCTCCAATGCCCCGATGTCTGAGAAGGACACCGACGATGGCACCTAGGAATCGACAGCTGCTGTCGTTCCTGGAAACGGAGGACTCCCTGAAAATCGACCGATCACTGATGCTATCGTCCCCGCCTTCTTCCAGATCGGAACTCCTAGCCGGACACCCGACAGTGACGAAGGTGAACAGGGTGCTGGTGGCACAAACAGTCGCCCCGCGGCCGGCCCGTCCGAGGCTCCGCGGCACAAACAGTCGCGCCCGCCGGCCCGTCCGAGGCTCCTCATCTGCATCTGTATCTGTATCTGTATGGCCATCGCAACCAAGCGGTGCGCCAGCAATGCACCCCAATGGTTGGCGCCCAGCGAGCCCGTAAACCGGACATGGATATCCTCCTATTGTCCAGAATGCGGGCTGCGCCAGGCGACGCTGGCAGCAACATGACCCAGGTCTTTCACTGGCCACTGGTTGCTCAGCGTGCAAGACCCTCCCCAGGTAACGTTGCCAAATCCCGTCCAAGGCGCGTACTGAACCCTCCTCCCCTTTTTTGCCTGGCAACAACTATGCCGCACCAACGCTGCGTCTCCTCACTCCTGTAGAACTAGCTTCAGGCAACCGCCGACAAACCACATCATCTGTGTGTTCGAGAAAGCTGCCCTCGCTTTGCCGTGGAGGCATGCCCGGGGAGACAGAGCAGAGTTGTCTAGTCAAACCAGCGGTGCTCACGCAAGCGCAAAACACATGGCTGACTGGGACTGCGCCTGCGGCGCAAGACGGACAGTCAAACAACCTTGGCAGCTCAAGTCGTCCAAGCAAAGGCAGAGGCCATCTTCCCGTGACGCGGACAATACTCCAGGCCCGAAAATTGAACCACGTGATATCCACGTCACTAAGGTCGATGCCAAGGTCCTCCCATACCCAAGCCACTGATTGAAACTGCAACTGCCCCAGCGTGACTCCGCCCAGCCCCTGCATGGGTTCGTTCAAGTGCTGGCAGAGTTGCCGACGGTCGTGTTCCAAAAATAGAGGAAGAAGGATTTCTCGGCGGTAGCGGGAAAGCAACTTCTTTCTGAGTCTGGGCTCCCTCCGCGCCAGCTCTATCTGGTCGCCTGCAAAAAGCCCGCAAGACCTGATCGCCGGTACGGACTCATGAAGGTCAGCTTGTTGGAACAAGTCACAAACCTTGGAGAACGAAGACGCACAAGGCAAAGTTTCAATCAGAGAGCCCAAGACGACAGTAGGGTGCTCAGCTGGCAAGAAGTGCATCCGCGCTTGGTACATAGCTACTTCCAAGAGTAGGCAAGTGCCAAGGCGCAAGTTCCAGCCGCACTGCGCTACCGCTACGTGATGTCTGAGCTCCTTCTGGTAGCGACACCCCAAGATGGTCTTGGCCATCCTCCACTGCAAAAAATCCAGCTTGCGGAGAACAGATGGGGCAACTGCCAGGAAGGGCGCTGGAAAGAGGACAGCAGGGTGAATACGCGTGATGACTTGCGCGGCCACAACTGGGGCTGAGAAACCTGCGGCCTCTGCAGTGTGACACATAGCCTCGAACAGCTTCCACGCCTTTGAAATTGTTTGTAGAAGCCACGGCGCAAAAGTGAGCTGAGAATCAACCAACACGCCCAAGATGCTCTTCTGGTCCACTACCTGGCAGTCAAGGGTGTCCTGGTCCAGCTCCGGGCTACCCATCATGGCTAGCGCGCATGTCTTGTTTGCGCCGTAATGGAAATTAGATTTGGTCGTCCTAGCGTAGGCGCTGCAAGCAGAGCCCTTGTGCCTTCCCACAATAGCCCGCAAAGCTCCGGGCGAGGGGCAAGGCACTGTGGTGTCGTCCACGTATTGCAGTGGCCCAATTCGATGAGTGCCTAAGGAGTCAAGCAGAGCGCACCTGTCCGCAAATGATGGCAGATTGGAGAGCGCTTCTCTCAAAGCCTCGTCAAAGACCTGCTGCGACAAGTGTGTTTGCAAGTAGCAAGTGACCTGCTTCAAGCTCACTGGTGATGGGCAGGAAACAAGATCTGCAGGTGTGTCAAGTAAACCATGGTGAGCCAAAGCTCTTGCTATCTGCGGTGGCAGCCAGGCGCCCACCCCATGAGGCAAAGCTTTGTCAATTTCAACTTTAAGCCAACTTAGAAGTCCGTTGAAGACATGTACACTAAAACGCCTCCCTTGTGCAATGCCGCACCCCAGTGTGAAGACCTCTGACAGTAAGTGTAAGCCATGTAGTTGTACGCACTGCGTGTCCATGTCCATGACATCATCCAGCAACAGCCAGTCCACCCCAGCAACACCTGCCTGTGCACAGGCAAGCTTCATGCAAGGCAACAAGGCAACATCGAAAGCCCAGCGTAGGTCCAGAATCGCAAAATACAGAGGCAGCCCTTGGAAGACAGCCGGCTGTGGCCCCTTCCCCCGGTGATGGAACCCTTTCTAGAAGAGGCTGTGGTCCCTCCGAACCAGGTCCTGCCGTCGATTTCGCCTACCCTTCCCTTCGTGGCCTTTCAGCTCGAGGACAGCTTCTCGGAGGTGCGACTTTGAATGCATCGCCGTCGACTCGGGTGCCCTTTCGGTTGGGAACATTGATATTCAATCCCTTTTTGATGCTGATTGGAGATCCCAACCTTCCCGGCCTTCCCGGTCCGATTTGCCCTTTGCCGGGTGGCCCATTGAGGAATTTTCCCCTTCTCATGTTGCAGGTCCGGGCCAACTCGACTCGGGCGATCGGGCAAGTGAAGACTGGCCGCAAACAGCAGGCCGTCCTTCCGTTTCAGGTTCATTTGCAGCCATCACCACTGATGATCATCCTAGCCAGGCTGATTTGGACTTCATCCCGGATGCAGTGTCATCTTACATGTCAGGTACCCATCATCAGGATGCGAGCCGCTAAAACGCTGGCTCGAACCCACAGCCACCCTCAGGCACGGATGCGAGCCGCTACAACGCTGGCTCGATTCCAACCGATCCATCGTCAGGTACTCAACAACAGGATGCGGGCCGCTACAACGCTGGCTCAATTCCATCGAACCCGGCCTCAGGTACGAACGGGATGCGAGCCGCTACAACGCAGGCTCAAATCCGCACGACCCAATGTCAGGTACTCATGAACAAGATGCGGGCCGCGAAACAGCAGGCCCAAATCCACTTTCCGCATCATCGAGAA